GTGAAGTTAGAATAGTTTGGTTCAACACAAGGATAGCCTGTGTCATGCTGTCCTTGTCAGCACCTTGTAAAAGGGGTGAGCCCAGCTCTGAAAATATTTACTTAACAATGCAGTAACGTCTCACATCGCCATGGGGTAAGGCTTCTTACAACATTAACACTGAGGAAGTAACTGAGGAACGAACAGCAAATAAAAAAGCCAACAAGTAACAGAAAAACTAAACTGTCATAAAGCCCATTCATCAGGCTCCAATGGCCCTTGATTTTTACAAACCATTTTATCTAACTCAGTTACTGGGTTCTCTAGTTACAGCAAATCTAAAATAGCAAGTTGGGAGCGGAAGCAGATGAGGAGTAAGGCAGGATGAGCATGTCCATAGCAGCAAGGAAAAGCAGTAAAAACCACAAATCAGAAAGATCTATCGATATATATGTCTAACAGTGTAGAATCCCAACTATATAATACAAGCAACAATGACATAAGATTAACAGCTGTCACTAGTGGCTCAGTTGGTTGAAACATTGTCCTGGACACCAAAAAATTTGTGGGTTTGATTCCTGGTCAAGGCACATACCTAGGTTTCAGGCTTGATACCTGGGAGGCAACCAATCTCTCTCTCTCTCTCTCTCTCTCTCTCTCTCCCCCCCCCCACCCCTTCCTCCTAAAATCAATAAACATATCCTTGGGTATCTATCCTATATACTAATAAAAGGCTAATATACAAGTAAACCAAAAGGTGGAACAACCGAACAACTGGTCGCTATGATGTGCACTGACCACCAGCACGCACACAGTACATGGCTGGTGTTGCCAGCTAGAGGCAGAGCTCAGAAAATGGGGGATGGTGGAGCAGGTGAGCGGGGGTGCCAGACCAAGGCAAGCCTCTGGTGGTTACTGAAAATTCTTTGTTCCTGCCTGCCAGGGACCTGCACAGCGCTGGTGCCATTTGCACCCGCTGCCAGTGCCAGAGCCGCTGCTTGCACCTGCTGCCAGCACCAGAGCTGCCACTTGCACCTGCTGCCAGTGATGGCCCCGCTCAAACCTGCTGCCAGTGCTGGCCCTGCTCACACCTACTGCTGGCACCTAGTACGGGTCCCGATTGCTTGGTGCCATCCGTGGGTGTGAACCATGGCTGCTGCCCCCAGCTGCCCCTGAGGGCTTCTTCTTTTCCCCCTGCTCCTGAGGGCGATCAGGGTAACAGCTATTGCTTGTACCACTGCTGGCACCAGCCCCAATCATTCCGTGCTGTCAGGGAGTGTGAGTGGGGCCAGCACCATCAGTGTGTGTGTGGGAGCGGTGGTGGGAGCAGAGCTGCTGGCAGATGGGGGACACCGTCAGAGGGACAGGGCGGGGGTACGGAGGGTGGGCCAAGTCCCTACTGCAACCTCGTGGCACACAGTTCCTTTCAAGGTGCACGAATTCGTGCACTGGGCCCCTAGTCTATAATAATAAAAGGATAATAAATAATAAAAGGGTAATATGCCAATTAGACCAGACATTCTTCCTGACCAAGCTGGGCCAAAGGGAAACCAGCCTGGGGCCCAGGTTCCTGTGGGCGGCTGGAGGAGGGAAGCAGCCCAGGGCCTGGGGCTGGCAGCTGGGGAAAGGAAGGCCTATTCTTGCATAAATTTTCATCCATTGGGCAGATATTAAAAAAAAAAAAAAAAAAAAGAAAGAAATAAGAATTACAGTTCCAGATTGCACTAAAGTGAGGGCCTTAGGAAACCTTGTTATTCTGTGCCTTATTTTCCTGTTCTGTATAACATGTACTTCAACACAATATATCTGATAAGCTTTGTGTTTTTAGAAATGATATTTAAACATTTTTTTTTTACTGATCATAAAAGAAATATATTGCAGAGAATTTGAAAATGCTAGAAGTATACAGAAAATTTAAATTGCCAATAACCCATCACCCAGAGAAAACCATCATTTACATCTTGGTGGATTTTCTCCCCAGGTTTCTTTACATATAAAAATGGAAATTTTTTGGGGTAACATTTTTATTAACCTAGCATTATCTGTGGGTATTTTCCCAACACAAAAAGTCTCTGCAGAAATATTTTAATGACTACATATATCAAAATTTATTCTCTTATCATTATAGACTTTGGTTGGTATAAAACATTTTATAAAATGTATTATACTATACACATGACAAGTCATTTATGATGATTATTTAAAAAATCTATATTCAGAAAGAAAAATGATCAGTAAAAAGTGTATCAAACACCAAGAAAAAATTTAAAAGTTGTGGTTTATAAAACCAGGTTATCAAATACAGTATTTAAGTCCAATAAATAAACAAGACATTTAGAAAACTAAGTATCTAAATAAATTTTGACGATCATTTTAAGTGATTTCTGATGCAGCAATAAGAGACTTCCAATTAGGAGAATTCTGGATTACTATTATTACATTACAACATGCTAGTGAAGCAGCACCCATTAACAACACACAGTCATTTTGCTCACTCATTCATTAAGCAAAAGAAATAAGAATTACAGTTCCAGGGCCCTTAGGAAACCTAGTTGTTCTGTGTAACATGTTCTTCAACATAATATATCTGATAACCTTTGTTTAAGCAGCACCCATTCACAACTCATACTCATTCTGCTCATTCATTCATCCATCTACTATTTTATAGGCATTATGCTAGGCTGCATTAATATCAATATTAAGAGACTTCTTTGTGCAAGCCTTAAAAATAATGTAGCAGCATTTAAACATTTTAACAAATGAACAAATTCACCTCAAATCCTACTAATCCTAATCCACTAACTGTACTTATTACCCAGTGTCTGTCTCTCCCACTAAACCGTGAGCAACTTGAGAACAAAGGCTGTCGCCACCTCTATTTTTCCTCTCTAAAAGAGAAGTTCCTCATTGGTTTGCCGAGTGAGTTTACATTTACAATTAAAGTCCTAATCTAAAAGCATGCATTTATACCAAGGAAATAATGTATACATATTTTTAATGATGCTGTTTTATCTTTTCCATGTTCCTATCAGTCTTCACAATCTTAATGCTGCATAATAGCCCATCACACTTACATAATATAGTTTAGAAAACTATTATCCTAATATTGTCATTGAAGCTTTTTTCTAGTGTTTTTATATGGTATTAGGTAATGCTCCAGCAAACACACCTTGCTTTACAAGTCTCACAGATTTACCTCTGACTAGAAAAATTGGGCTCAATGTTAGAGGAATATAAACTTCTACAATAAAAAGGAATGTTATAGAGATTTTTTTACCCCATAGGCAGAATTTAAAAGACAAAGAACACACGTACAAAGAAACTCTTAGAATTCCTTTCTGCCAAATCAAAGCCATTTAAACAAATCCTCTATTATGAAATGTGCTGTGCAAAGCAAAGTGCGTTTTGCAGGGCTGCTTCACACATATTTAGAGAAGACACTTCTGGGGGCAAGGAGTAAAAATTCTGAGGTAACAAATGCAATGTCTACTTAAAACGTCAATGCTTTTGGAAGGAGGCACACACTTCACCTCCACCTTCTTGGATTCATGGAACTCGTCCAAATCCTCAGGCTGAAGAAATGGAAGCAGCTTAGGGCACCTGAAGAAGCCTTGATTCCCTTTTCCTTCCGTTTACAGATCCTAAAGCAATACAACGCACCTGGTACTATACAAGCACCTAAGCTTTGACCTCTGAAGGGGCTTGTGAGAAAGCCAACTATATTTTAGAAATATGAAGCTAGTTTATATACATATTCACTGAAGAGAGTTGTGTTTGAGCATCTACTATTATAATCTCTGCAGCACGGGCCTTCCATGACTGAAATAACGGGCCACGCCTCCTTTGTTACTTTATCTGGAGGAAGGGGAGAAGGGGAGAAAAAAAGCAGCTAACCAGATTATAATTTAATTGTGGTCCAAGTATGATTGCTAACTTCATTATAGGGAAGAGCGCCTTTGAGGCCAGCCCAAAAGACCTGCTCAACTCTGTCATTTTTAAAATCTTCACCGGAGGATATGTTTTCATTGATTTTTAGAGAGAGGAAGGAAGAGAAAGAGAAACACCGATGTGAAAGAGATACATCTATGGGTTGCCTGCCCGGGAACGGAACCTACCACCTTTGTGTGCACAGGAGGCCGCTCCAACAGAACCACCTGGCCTGGGCTCGAGTATGGATTTCTCAAATGCTATCGAATGTAGATTGTCTATGTCCAATTCTTCACGGAGCCCGGTGAAAACCTGTGCATACCTTTGTGTTGCTGGCTGTACAGTATTTTTTTTAAAACACACACACACACACACACACACACACACACAAATGACTCCCCAAGGCATGTCACAGAATTCTCTTATTGAAAGCGGGCAATCCCCTAGGTGGTGCTGAGACCAGGGAGCCTTCTCCCTCCCCACAAGTTCCTTTCGCATAACCGCATCAGCATTCCGCACGACACAAAAGCGCAAGGCATGACAAAGACCTCCAAGCACACACACACCCACCCACCCACCCACCCACCCACCCACTCACACACTCACACACACAGCCCAGCTTCTAAAACCCTAAACCGCCCTGCACGCCCAGCTCACAGCTGGCACTTGTGGCTCTCGGGCCGCCGGCCGGCAGGCAGCTGTCACCGGCGGCCACACACCCGGGGCGCCGGCGGGCCATCCGGGAAAGCGAGGCCGGGATCCGCGGACGAATCCACACCCCCGCCCCCCCGAATACAGAGGAGCCCCGAATCCCCACTCGAGAAGCACAATGACTGCGATCTCCGGAAACTGCCCCCCCACCCCAAGGAATCAATACCGGTGTACAGCAATACAGCACCAGAGGGGTTCTATTTGGGGGTCAGAGACCCCGCGGAAGGGGGTGCTGGGTCCGACCCCGGGGTGCTCTCGGGGAGAAAGGGGAGCGAGGCGAGGGCCGGCCCAGGCAGCGGGCCGGGTGCGGCCCGCGCCGCCGCCCCCTCCCGCCCCGCGGGCCCCGGGCCCCGGCCCCCGCCCCCCGCGGCCGCGGCTCTCAC